TGAAGGTGAGGGGAGCATCTTAATAGATGAGTTTCGGGGAAATGTAAATTCCCAACAGCACCACCCTCCCAGAGGCACTTGCTTTGTTTATTTTAGTCTTTATTATGGGAAAATAAAATGTACAACGATAGACTATACGTGAGTACATGAACTTCCATGTACTTATCACCCAGCTGCAATAAGTCTCAACCTCTGGACATCTTGATTCCTCCATACTTCCCGTTCCCACTGGACTATTTCTCTTTTTGTTTCTTTTATCCTCACTAGAGGATATTTTTTCCATTGATTTTTTTTTTTTTAAGAGAGTGGAGGGGAGATAGGAGAGAGAGAAAAACAGAGAGAAACATCAATGTGTGAGAGACACATCAATTGGTTGCCTCCCCGAGGTACATGCCCAGTGCTCTGCTGAGCCAAACCATGCAAGGCCCCACTGGATTATTTCAAAGCAAATTTCAGACATCATTTAAAAAATTTTTAAATTTATTTTTATTTAAATTAATTTATTTTGCAATTACAGTTGACATAAAGTATATTAGTTTTAGGTATATAACATAGTGATTAGATGTTCGTATTCCTTCTGAGTGATCACCCCAATAAGCCAGGCATTTCATCCATAAATATTTCAGATTAAACAAAAAGAAATCATGTAAAAACCCCACAAACCATTCATTATACACAAAATCAATGCTTCTATATTAAACATCGGGTCAGCATTCAATTTTTCCCTATTTCATAAGTTTTATTTTTTACAGTTTACTTAAATCAAGGTATAAATGAATTCCATACATTGCAAGGTTGATCTGGTTTATTTTGTTGTTGTTAATCTTTACCCGAAGATATTTTTCCATTGATTATTAGAGAGAGTGGAAGGGAGGGAGAGAGACAGAGAGAAACATTGATGTGAGAGAGACACATTCCTTGGTTGCCTTCTGCATGTGCTCTGACCAGAGTCGGGGATGAGCCTGCAATTAAGGTACGTGCCCTTGACCAGAATCAAACCTGTGACCCTTCAGTCCATGGACCAACACTTAATCCACTGAGCCAAACCATCCAGGGCTCTGTGTGTGTGTGTGTGTGTGTGTGTGTGTGTGTTGAAAAGCACATAACATAAAGTTTACCATCTTAACCATTTTAAGTGTATAGTACCGTAGTAATTATATGCACATTGTTGTGTAACACATTTTTAAAACTTACAAAACCGAAACTCTACCCATTGAACAACTCCCCTTTGTTACTTCCTTCTAGCCCCTGGTAACCACTAATCTACTTTGTTTCTGAGTTTGACTACATTAGGTATCTCGTATATATAAAATCATGGATATTTGTCTTTTTGTCACTGGCTTTTTTTCACTTAGCATGATGTCCTTAAGATTCATCCAGGTTTAGCATATAACAGGATTTCCTTCTTATTTATTTATTTATTTACTTAATGTTTTATTTATTTTATTTTTATTTTTTTTAAATATATATTTTTTTATTTTATTTTATTTTTTATTTTTTATTACAAAGGGTATTACATATGTGTCCATTTCCCCCCCACCCCCACCCTAGACAGTCCCCTAGCCTCCCCTATCCCCCAGTGTCTTATGTCCATTGGTTATGCTTATATGCATGCATACA